ATTTCGGTTGCACATCGGCAAACCGTCTTCAGGGCAATTATTTTACACGTCTGCGCTTTTTGACGTGGAGATTGTTACAATCATTGTTTTCATTGTTTGTTTTAACAAACACGGACCTCGAGCCAGCCAACAAATAAATATTATATATATTTATTTAAATGCTAGCGGGTACCACCGGCCTTGCCCGTGGCACGTATTAAATAAATTCTCTCAAAAATCTTTGAAAATGAGTTTAAAACCGATCGGACGTAGAGCTTTGAAAATAAGTTTGATGCAAATCGGACAAAACTTAAAACTTAACCCCAAAAATCTTGATTTGCGTTTGAGGAAGTTTTGATTTTGATTTTTGATAAAGTGTGAAATATCCCTCAAATGAATTTGAACCAAAAATATCTTTGAAAATGAGTATGATGGTAAACAAAAAAGTTTCATACAAAGGTTTTTCTCGATTTTTCCACACATGCGGGTGGGATTTCCCGACCCCCGTCTTAACGTGCACCTTCATTACAAATGGTAACTAGTGACAATTACTGTTACGGTTTGGGCAGTGCGTCAATCAGTCAGTCAGTCGGGACAAACAGTTTTATATATAGAGATTATTTAAACAGTTTTTCAATATAAACAAACAGCTGATGATTAATAACTAATACCAACTTGTACCTCAGTAAAAGTTGTGGGCAAAGGTCAAGAGTTTGTATTTTGGAACATTTCTTATCAGCAAACGACGAGAACACGAAATATCCATTGATAAGGATTCGAATCATTGTAGACATTAAAGTCAATTAAATGTCGGTGCCATAAAGAGTTTCAGTTAAGCATGAGAACTATGTACATTGCTGTAGGAATTGGTATATAATAATAACAATTACTATGTAATTTAAGCAGTTTTGATTTTTTTTAGTAAAGTTTATTTCGTGAACCTTCCGTTACTTACGTTAATTACGTACATCTTAATAAGTGTAAATCTATAAATACGGAAAGCTGCATGTAACTACTTATACACATTATTCTGATAACGTAAATGTCTATATTAGATAGAATGATACCATGTTTAACATATAGATTGTGTTATTTAAACTTATAGAGAAAACGAATTTGTATAATTCCCGGTACTTTTGGGACACACCTTGGAATATGGTATGTGCCTATGCATAAGTAAATATATATATTATTTATTTGCTGAGTATCTTCTATCAGATTTGATTAGAGAAGCCGTATCAGTTTGTTTGAACCTATTGTCGACGAAGTCATTAAAATCATTTGCAGACGCCAATTTAAAATTACTTAAAAGTATTCCTATACCCATAGATAACAAATATAAATAAAAAATAAAAAAATGGGAAAAACAGATGCCTGGCGTTTAAAGCACACGTCATTGCTTTTTGCGCTGCGAAAAATACAAAACAAAACTTGTACATATACATGTATAATTAATAAAAGACTTGTTCATGTTCTGAAGACAAAAAACAAACAACAACAGAAAGAATATCATCAAAACTAAACAATATATATACATGTCTCGCATGGGTGTTTGTTCTTTTTGCCCAGGCGCATTTTCCCAGCTTTTTGTCTGTTTTTACGATTTCTGATGTCTGAATATAATTATCACAACTACATAAACTATGAAATTACGTATACGCCTTGTATATATACATATGTATATATGGATGAAGTATGAAAACTTCCAATTGAATTATTGGCTTATTGGGAGCAACAACGTTGATTGAGTTTGATTGATTTGATTAAAAGAATCCAATTAGTGTTAATAGCCACTATGCTTGGCGGCATTGTATTTATTCGTGCCAAAATAAATATTGCGAATTATCTCTTTATGGTATAACTCTCTCTACCTCAGTCCCGCTCTCATTATTGTTAAGCTTATCAAAACTGCGGGTAGTTTATTTTTAAACCCATTGTGATTATAATGAAATCCCGACTGACGTGACGTTTCTTAAAGCTGACGAACTTGGAACGCGTGGCCCACAGTCCACATAGAAATGTGAGAGATAAGACCGATGTAGTGCCAAGCCTCAGTCTGGCACGAATAGTGAATGAATGCGATACGAATACATTTGACTCCAGAAAGAACAGATTCGCACAGTTGTGTCCGGATACAATAAAAACACATGTGAAATTGATTTATTACACAATGCTAACAGCTTTCAGGTTACCTTAAATTGGAAATTATATTAACTTATAATAAAATTAACTAAAAAGAAGAAAACATGAGGCTTAAAGAAGAATACAAAAGTTATAAGTTTGCAGGAAAGTCGGCGCTAAATACTACTCTCACCAGAACGAAGTGATGCTGTGAGCGCTGACAGATTCGACAAGTTCTGTGCAAACTAGTTGTTACCCGAAATGCATTTCCCATAAGCAGCGAGTCAATGACATGACGTGAACTCGAGATGAAAAACGCCCAAAACGCCAACATGCAATGCGTCGCATATCTTGGCTATAAATAGCGCTGCACATTGCGGCCAAGGAGGGCAGCAAGCGTCTACCGCGGGGCAGCGACAATCATAAATGCTGCCTACATAGGCAGTATCTTGTTGTGAAACTACATTGCCGGTGAATGGTCGAGCCAGTGGATCCACAAATACGTTTCGTGCACTTGCATTAAGTGAAAGATGTTTTGAAAATGGCAAAAAAAGCTATTATTTATATTTGAACGAAACCATTTTTTAAGTGACGGGGCGGTTTGTTTGATTATTGACTGCGATTAAGGCAGCGTGTTTCCATTTTTACAAAATGTACGTAAAGCTTTATTGTCAAAGTAAAAGCTACAATAATTGAACATGGCTCGGAGTTACTCGCATACAGTGCCGGACAAAAATCCGTGCAACTACTTTGCATTATTCAGTACAGACTATGACCCACATATTGTATTCTTCCATAAAGGTGTATCCGGATGGAAGAAGTGATCACTGTGAAAGAACACAACATTCTGAGGCACTTTAGTGTCAAGAACCGATTCATAACTGCTGCTGTATCGAAGTAAGATTATCCATGCAGAAGGAATCGAAATGATACAATTAATGTATTTACTTAAAACAAAAAATTAAGAAGAGAATAGTATACTTTTTGAATTTGAAATCTAAGGTATATGTGTGTGTACTTTGAATTGTTGGTATTGGCTCTTATTTTTTAATATACTGTCAACAGGGTCATAAAGCGTATATTGGTTTTGTTTAATGTCAAGCTGCCTGTCTTTATGATGACAATTCGACTAGCTTTGTATACTTCCCATTTTTCTCAGTTACAGTCTTATATGCAATTTCGGTATGGTCTCAGCTTTGAGCTAATATCACACTACAAACAGTGTATTGCGCTGTCGAGCGTTCGAAAACATTTTGATATTATTTAATTTGGTCGAGGGTTCCTGCATAATTTATGGGCGCATTGAACGGGAAAGCATTGTGAATGCGACACACGTACTCTAATTATTGACCTACATACAGCCTGGCATTATTCAATTTTCGGTAATGCATGCGACAACCAAAGAACAGTTCCCCAACGGCTACAGGTTGTTCGTTTCCTGGGTCAATTTTGACACTAAATGAGCGTCTGTGAACAGGTTATACAATTGTATAACTTAAGCAAAGAATTGTTTAGTTACTTATTTTTAGCTGCCTAAACAACACCGCCATTTCGCATTGCACGGGCAGACACAAACAAGTTGTGTTGACTGTGTCATGCCCCGATGAAAATACCAAATTATATTCCTGATTTGAACGCCGCGATGGGTATTGTTTAAACAAAATGCCACAGCTGCGGCGCACGACTGTCACACTTGGTCATACAGATTGGGCACGAATCGTGACCGCTTGCCGTGCACTTGAAACTGTTAGCAAGTGCAACATTTTTGAACAAATACCAAAATGTTTTGTTTTTTCTTGCTGTATTTCTTGTTGAGCGAAATGCTACCTATACACACGTGGATACATACTTAACAATACACATTGGTGTTTATATATTGCATTACAAGTCCAAATGTTTATTAATATACTGAAGCACTTTCACCTGTTGCTGGCAGGGTATTATTACTGTTCGTTTTTATATGTAAATTTTTTTAATGTTCAATTTTTTAAGTACAGTTAAGTTACACGCCCCCTTTAAAGTAGCTTTTCTAACAGGAAATTAGTTGATTTAAAACCAAATTGAAACCAAGTGACAGCGGCAGCTGCTATCGCACATTTCTACATGTTAGCCATAGCTTAGTTCGTAAATCGCGAAGCGATTCGCTGATAAGAACCATAAACAACCTCACATACACATGTAAACAGCGATTATTCGACTGATTTGTTTATAATACGCTTAACTGATCAACTAAAATTTGAGGCAACATTCGCGACGCTCACGCTGCTGTACCAGTTTACAGTTACAGCTGCAACAATAACAAGGCGGAGGCAGCTGCATTAATTTGTGTGGTACTTTTAGGGGTGGTGGTGCTGATGCAATGTGACGTCACAATAGTGATGGCAGTGATTACTTACAATGTGCTCCCTTACTGTATTGTGGAACAGTTGCAGCTTCAGGTCTGTCACTTCCTCCTCCTCTTCCTCCATGTTCTTAAGGAAGAAGGTTAGCTTGTCGTTTTGAGCCAGTTTCGTGTTTGTTTAGCAAGGCCCTCCCCCGCCCGCGGCTAAGTTTCTTTCGTTTCTGAGGGAAGCACGCACACAATAACTAATTTCACTTTTCACCCGCGTACGCACGACCACAGACCAAATAGATGTTGCTTATTCTTGTTATTGCTTATTGATAGACTTTATGTTAGCTTGCATTGCTTTATTGACCAATTAAATTATAAAAGAATTTAGATTTTCAAAGAGGACAGCATTTTAAAAATGCCCACAGTATTCCTTCACGCCGAAATAACCGTCGCACACAACTAAGCGACGTAAAAAATTCTTGCAACTGACCTGGAGATGTCAAAAACAAATCACTATCGAAACTATTTACGACAGACAAATTTCGATAACGGAACAATGTGCACCTCTGCGATGCTCTAGAGTAGACTAGCGCCACTAACCATACAATGCATAGACTTGTCAAATGTCAAAATAATCGGATACCGATAAATCGTCAACGACTGAGCCCCATGGGTGACCGCGACCATTTTAGTGTGCCCAGACAAAGTAAGACTGCTGAGAGTGGCAGCCGAACGCCGGCCTCGACAGCCGAACGTTCAGTATGAAGCCGCATCCCGCTCAGCGCACAACGTTGCTGCGGCTGATGCTGTTTTGTAATATATGTATCTTTTCAGCCCAAATACATACATATGTGTATATGCGTGTGCAGAGTGCCCCTCGCTCACACTTATTGCTTTGCGCACTTGTGTGCATCTCCTTCTCCCTGCATAGCTTCTCAAAAACCCCGAGATCTACAAACATACATACATATGTTTGTGTTGTGTGGGTGTGCGCACAAGTAGATCGCGGCGTTTGTCGCAAGCCAGAGATTTTTTCTTCAATTGTGTGCCCTTTGTGCCTGTGGTGGCAAAAGGCACACACATTCAAATGCTCTATCATGTATTTCTTCGTTCAGTCAGGCATAATGAGAAGAATCTGATATATTTATATTTATTAAAAACTTAAATGACCTAAATAATATATTTATATATTATATTTTAATTTTTTTGTTTACTGTGGGGACCAATTTTGCTTAAATTTAAAAAAAAAACTAAGTCGTATTTCTGCAAGGGTAATTCTTCGTCGGCTTGTCGAATAATTTAAGAAAAGACCAAACATTGAAAATGTTCAAATTTTTCGACTTGCTACTTGTGCACACGCACACTCTTTCGAGTAAGCAGTTGGGTGACATTATTAAAGGGTTTGGCCTGTTCATGTGCAAAACTCCTATTTTCCATGCTTGTTGTAAGGATAAGGGTACCTGAACGTTGGCATGTGTGCATAATAACTTTTTGGGCCTGCCAAGCACACATACTTACACACTTTTCTATATGGATGGAAGCATTTATGCGTTTGTGTGCGTGTTGGTTGCCTGCCTGCCTCTGCCCGAAGCAAATTTTACCAAATTTGAAGTTTTTGGCATTTCTGAATTTCGAGCTCTACACACACACACACACACACACACACACACAAATGTGTGCGAATGAGCCGATCAAGGGTTTGTCGTGAGACAGAGATATTTTCATCAATGGGTGCGTAAATTTGGGCGACGGTGGGCTTGCGGCCGCGTAAGGCACAAATGTGTGAACAAATGGACAAATGGATGCAGACGCATGCTGGACATTCTGATCGTTTATTGCCTGCCATAACACCCTTTAACCCAAAATGTTTACTATGTCAAAAAATAAATAAAAAGATCACTTGCATTTTTTCCATATCAAAGTGCAAACGAGCGGCAAGTGCGGTTCACCTGTTTTCGTTGCCTGTTCACACATGTGGGCCTTACGCGGCCGCAAGCCCACCGTCGCCCAAATTTACGCACCCATTGATGAAAATATCTCTGTCTCACGACAAACCCTTGATCGGCTCATTCGCACACATTTGTGTGTGTGTGTGTGTGTGTGTGTGTGTAGAGCTCGAAATTCAGAAATGCCAAAAACTTCAAATTTGGTAAAATTTGCTTCGGGCAGAGGCAGGCAGGCAACCAACACGCACACAAACGCATAAATGCTTCCATCCATATAGAAAAGTGTGTAAGTATGTGGTGCTTGGCAGGCCCAAAAAGTTATTATGCACACATGCCAACGTTCAGGTACCCTTATCCTTACAACAAGCATGGAAAATAGGAGTTTTGCACATGAACAGGCCAAACCCTTTAATAATGTCACCCAACTGCTTACTCGAAAGAGTGTGCGTGTGCACAAGTAGCAAGTCGAAAAATTTGAACATTTTCAATGTTTGGTCTTTTCTTAAATTATTCGACAAGCCGACGAAGAATTACCCTTGCAGAAATACGACTTAGTTTTTTTTTTAAATTTAAGCAAAATTGGTCCCCACAGTAAACAAAAAAATTAAAATATAATATATAAATATATTATTTAGGTCATTTAAGTTTTTAATAAATATAAATATATCAGATTCTTCTCATTATGCCTGACTGAACGAAGAAATACATGATAGAGCATTTGAATGTGTGTGCCTTTTGCCACCACAGGCACAAAGGGCACACAATTGAAGAAAAAATCTCTGGCTTGCGACAAACGCCGCGATCTACTTGTGCGCACACCCACACAACACAAACATATGTATGTATGTTTGTAGATCTCGGGGTTTTTGAGAAGCTATGCAGGGAGAAGGAGATGCACACAAGTGCGCAAAGCAATAAGTGTGAGCGAGGGGCACTCTGCACACGCATATACACATATGTATGTATTTGGGCTGAAAAGATACATATATTACAAAACAGCATCAGCCGCAGCAACGTTGTGCGCTGAGCGGGATGCGGCTTCATACTGAACGTTCGGCTGTCGAGGCCGGCGTTCGGCTGCCACTCTCAGCAGTCTTACTTTGTCTGGGCACACTAAAATGGTCGCGGTCACCCATGGGGCTCAGTCGTTGACGATTTATCGGTATCCGATTATTTTGACATTTGACAAGTCTATGCATTGTATGGTTAGTGCTAGCGCGTTAAAAAATCAGCTGATCGTTTGTCAATGACGTAAAATAATGTCCCAATCTTTGAAGCGACAGGCAAGTTGCTGCATTAATAATGATAATAATAATTTAATGCACGTAATATGTCTTATTTTGGCAAATAATAGGTGCTAAGCGCGTTCAAAAAGCTACATCGCACGCGCCAATATGTGTTTCAGGGCGATGACAGGGCTCTGTTGGCGGGCCGGCATAAGATAAACGAATCATTTCAGCAGAACCGTAACGAAACCAATGAGGAGGAGATTCAAAAGGTGGCATGCATATTTTTACATAATGGGAACGGACATTAATTTTAATATTTATAGATGATTAATTTAGCTGTGGAGGTGGACAACGAGCTGCGAACGAACGTAATTCAGGCCAAAAAACGGGATGACAACGTCTTTGGTGAGTAAATATTACATAAAAAATTTCCCCATACTGTTGATATCGACTATTTTACAGAGCTACGTATAACGCCAGAGACCACTCGCCTAGACAATGTGATGTTCGACCCCGATGCAGTGGTTGAAGCTCCGCGCAGACGGCGTAAAGATAGTTCCACAGGTTGTTGTGGTGGGGCAGCCATGGCTGCCCTAGAGGCTGAGATAGAATCGCGTAAGAAGTAAAAAAAACAACACATTGTGAATATTAGCGAATTAGTTTAAATTATTTGTAACGTCAATACATTAAAAGCATTATTTTTTGCGTTTTTTTTTTGACTTGTGCTTGCTTTTTGCATTGCTTTTTTTATGTTTCGGCTTGATGTGCTTCTTGCGTTTGCTACGATGATCCGATGAGGAGGAGCTGTCTTTGGAGCTATCCGAACTACTAGATGATATTGATGATTCACTATCATCTGAGGTGTTGCTGGATTCTGAACTGCTGCTTTTAGTTCGCTTCGATGGTTTCTTAGCTTTGCTCTCTTTTTTTACAGTGACACGTCTTCGGTCTCTTTTGTTATCTTCTGATAGTTTCTCCTTGTTACTTTTCTCAGCGTTACGTCGGTGGCTTTGTGAATTCTCCTGGGCTTTAAACGTGGGTCTGCAAATATATGTTAATGGAGCATAATTCGACATAACCGCATTACAAATTACCTGTTGTCTCGGTCTTTACATCTGTTACGTACATTTTCCCGCCACCCACGTTCTGGTGAGTAGCGACTGCCTCTGTAAGGCGATGTTGCCCTTCTACGTTCGTTTCGATCCCTTGATCGGGAATGGCGCCCTTCATATTGTTCTCTATACCGATTAGGGTCTCTTGATCTTGAACGTTGAAAATTTTTGCCTCGACCACGTTTTTCGCGGTCCTCTTGTTCTTGGTGTCGTAGCTCACGAGCCTTCTTGCGTTCTTCCAAAGTCGTTCGACTTTTGTGTTCATCATTTCCATTTCTATCCTTACGCCCTTCAGTGCTTCCCATTTTGGTCGGTTGACTAACATTTCTACTGCCATTGCTTTCTTTCAAGTTATTAAAGTCTAATCGACCATCAGCACCTATAATACCTCGACCTTTTCCCCGCCAAGTCACTTTAGACACCGACTGCGAGAAGTCCACGTGTATGCGACGATCGTCAATAAGCACATTGTCCATTTTAAAATAGGCAGCCTCGCATGATTTTTGATCTTCGAATTCCACAAAAGCATACTGTAGGGAGTCACCTGTCTTCCGGTCTCGTATCACTTCGCAGCCTTTCACAACGCCAAATCGACTGAAAATTATCTCCAAGTCGTCGTCCGTTGTCACAGGATTAAGTTTGCATACAAAAAGCACGTTTTCTGGCGGGGCCATCTCCGCATCCGGCAAGTCCCCTACGATTTCTAGGATTGTAGCACGTGCCTTGGCTTCGCGTTCTGCCAACATCTCTTGCATCTCCTCCATGGTTTTACCGTTAGTGTCGTCTATGTCTTCGTCTGCGGCGATGCGCCCATTTTTAAGCCTTTCGACGCTAGGAGACGGCGAACGGCTGGGGACTTGAAAACCACGGGGGTTTGGAAACGGATCTTCGAGAACGACTGTGTGAGTTATGCGTATATCCTGATATGGGCGAAAGCTGTCGTCTACTATTGCATCGTTCAACTTCCGGAGCAATTCGTGTCCTTCCACAACTTCACCAATAACGCAGTGAGTGCCGTCCAACGATGTCAGGTTTTCACCAAGCGTAAAGAAGAACTGGGAGCCAACAAGATTTTTCCCGGCACTGACCAGCGAGAGTATCCCCGCACTTGAGTGGTGTATTTTCGGAATGTATTCGGCCTCGAAGAAACGTTTTTGGGAGCCTTCCACAACGCCCCATACTGAGGAACCGCCATCTCCAACGCCACTGGGATCGCCGGTTTGAGCAATGAAGCCTTGCTGCACAGTGTGAAATAGGTTGAAGTTGTAGTATTTTAACTGGCAAAGTTTTATGAAGTTAAGGCAGGCAATTGGCCGTTCGTCGGTGAACAGGTCAACGGTCAAATCTCCTAGTGTGGTCTCAATAACCACCGACATAGTAAGCCGGTGCACAAATCTGCAATCATTTACAGAAACAGACTCCCGAAAAAATACTGCACATTAAGAGTGAGACCGTGCGCAGCAACCCAAGGCATACCAAAATTTTCATTTCCCTAACAGAATTATTACTAAAGAATAAAATGGTTCCATATATGTACATATATTATATTTTTTTAATCGGTTAATAATTTTATTATACATTTCAATTTAATGATGTTTTCATTTCTGGCTTTATAATATTTTAAAGTAATTGTGTGATGAATAAAACCCAATACTCGTATTTCTATGGTACTGCTGCATATGTGTGATTTTTGTATGAGTTATAATAATAAAGTGTTAGGTATATCCTATTCGAACACTCTCGAATAGAGTACATATATTCCATTTTGAATTCTAATACCATTTCAAATCACACAACAACTTATCTTCTCTTTCTTATTTATTTTTCTTGAGCCAACTACTCAACTTTTAGACTTTACCTTACCAAACTATAAAGCGTAAAAATATAATTTAAGTATTCTAATGCCATTTAGCTTGAAGGTACATCACTGGATTGGGGAATTAATAGTCGCGTAGCCCTGAGTTATCGATATCTCAACCCTGATAGGTATTCTTATGTCGCCATTTTGATTATAGGAAAAATTGTAAAATTTTCTCAGTTGGCATACGGTACAACACGTTGTAAAATCGAGAAAAATTCTGATATTTTTTTCTAGAGATATTAGTGAGTGGTTTAAATAAGTAAAGGTTATTGTGTCATCTTTGCGCATAAGAGTAAACTAAAATGCCCGAAATCGGCAAGAAAATCGGCGAGTTGCGGGTGTGCGATTTAAAGGATGAGCTAGAAAAGCGCAAGCTGGAGACTGTGGGGCCAAAGGCTGTGCTCATCGAACGCCTTGAAAGGGTATGTATACGCGAGGGTTATCCGACAGTGGTGCAGGTTTACAATGTGCACATTTGTAGGCCTTAAAAGAGGAGGGCGTCGACCCCAACACACATTTAATTGTATCGGCTGCAAAGGCAAAGAAGCCGATGCCGATGCCAATGAAAGAATCTATGACCGATGTTGTAATCAAGGAAGAGCCTATTGACCCCGATGAAGAAAGACAAACAGTGGGCGAAGAATACGATACGAATGGAGATGGCGAAGACAGTGCCCATCATGCTGATGATGATGGGCACGAAATAGATCAAGTGGGCGACGTCGACGATGTCTGTGTCATATTAGATGACGATGAAGAGGAAGAAGAGGATGCAGAGGAGTACGACCATGAGAAAAATGGCAATGGAGAAGCCATTGAAGGAGACGCCGCCGAAGAAGGCGAAGGACCGACAGGCGACGAAGAGATGCAGGAAGAGAATACAGGCGACACTGTAAACATGGACAATGATGAGTCTATCAACTTGACAATTGGCGAAGACGAGCAGAAACTTTTACATGATGAGGTAATTTTTTATTATAAATGTCTATGGTCGACTGCTAAATTACAATTGTCGTTTCAGGCCCCTGACGATAAGTCTATTAAGTCGGGTAAGCCTTAAATTATTTATATACCTTGTGCCACATGTAGTGTGTGTGTACATAAATTATAAGTATAATATACTAAACTGTCAAAATTGGGGTTTTAGCCAATTTATCAAAGCGTGTTGAAGCTTTTGCAGATTTAATACGGTTAATTTATTTACTTTAAATGTGGTGGAAACTAGAATTTACCACCTCCATTAGTAGCTTTTGCTGTAAAATCAATTTACCAACAACTAGATAAGATTACTGCCAACATGTTTTTTAACACAATGAAAAGGATTTATAAGAAATGTCTATCTTGTAAGAGTTGTTGATCTAACAGACCTATTAATGACATAACTTACAGTTAAACCCGCAAATAAAACCGAAAAATCGAGCGCAGTTTCTAAGGACGGAGACAAAAAGATTCACAAGGATGATGAGAGTGCTCGATCAAAGAAGAAGGATGACAAGTCTATTGATAAGAAGGACTCTAGGTTGGTTGTGATGAACTACTATCTAATTGTCATTAGTTTAAAGCATGCCCATTATCAGTTTGTTCAATACTAATAACGAATATCCATTTTCTTTACACTTTATTTTCATTTCAAATTTTGTAACGTGGACTGTATAGCGATCAAAAGTTGGCTTCCAAATCGTTGAACCAAAAAGACGATAAAGGTAATTTAAGTTACTATTTCACCAGGAAATTCTGTGCTTGAAAGGTTATATATGTATATATATAAATATATACGCATATATAAGTTGGTTAGGCCATGCATGAAATAAGTAAAGCTTGCGAAATAAAACCATGTGTGGCACACTTGAGCAAGAGAGTGTGCAAGAGAGTGTGAATTTGGTTGGGCATGGAATCATCAAATCTGAGCGAGCAGCAATTCAACTTGATGGAATATCAGAAATCTAAAGCACTTGTTATACTGGGCGAGACTTCAAACCAGGCATAATTAATACAAATTCAATCTAACATCCAATGTGAATTCAGTATACTGTTCTTCTTTAGGCCTCTGGATTGCCAAAAGAGAGCTGTTTGATTATAAAATAATCTCAAAACAAAAGAACGTTCGCCATTGAAGTGGAGGTTATGTAATGATGTAACAATTGTTTTGCGCTATGAAATGGAAATAGATTCCCGAGAACGGTTTTCTTACATTGGAAAAGGTTTTACATTTTGGCTAAGTTCGTCGATTTCCATCAATTTACGCCAGGAGCCCTGAACCGCGCTTTACAACCCAACTGGATTACGGACACCAAATCATCGGCCGAAATCCACACTAAGCTGGGAAGGACAGAAAAATTCGACCTGTGTTTGAGCTGCAGCTTGTAATATTCAGCGGAACGACAACGATGATGACGGATAAGACGATTCCGGCCAGAAGACGACCCTTCACACAGGACAGCTGAAGATATCTTCACGCCACTGTGACTTGTTGGCAATGGCCACCCTGAACGGCATCCCTTTATATGGTGGAAGCAACAGGCGAAGAAGCAGCAGTGGAAGCATCTGCAGGAACCCAATCGAATTCACACTCTCTTAGCTTTCATAGGGCGCAGTAAATAATGTATATTTACTTATAATGTAGAATCAGTCAGGTTCGTTATTTCGAAAATTTACGATACAACAGCAAGCAGCAGCAGCTACAAAGTGTGCGTTTAAAGTGCTTCCCTTAATGATCAATGATCACAATCAATACCAAATACCAAAACAGTTTTCCAGCCACTCACAGCTCTGACCATAACTCTCTTCCAATATTGTTATTATTTACATGGAACTTGCAGAGAAAACATCGACAACAGCAGCAGGCGCAGCATCGGCATCGGGTGCCGCTGCCAACAAGTCGGGATCGGTCGGAGGCGCAGGTGCGGCTGGTGCTTCGTCTAGTGCTGTTGGGAAGCAGGCGCTGCTGTCACGTAATCTTTGGGTGTCTGGTTTGTCTACATTGACACGCGCCAGTGACTTGAAGGCCATTTTCTCCAAGTTCGGCAAGGTGATTGGAGCCAAGGTGGTCACCAACACCCGTACCCCAGGCACACGCTGTTACGGCTATGTGACCATGTCCTCATCCGGGGATGCTTCGCGGTGCATTGAGAATTTACATCGTACGGAACTGCACGGCCGAATTATATCAGTGGAACGTACCAAGAACGAAATCGGCGGCAGCGCAAGTTCATCCAAAGATGCTGGTAACAAGGGCAACAACAAGGCGAACAGCAAGTCAAACAATGAGGCGAAGAAGAAGGATGACGATAAAAAGTCCGGCGCCAAGGGCAGTGGAGATGATAAGAAGGGGGGCGAAACTAGTGGGGAGAGCAAAAACTCAGGCGGTGAAATCATCAACAAGCGGGACGGCAAGGACAAAGATCGCAACAAGTCATCACGGGACGACAAGGACAAGCCGTCGACGGGCAGTGACAAGCGCCACGATCGTGATCATCGCTCTGGCACGGGTCACAAGTCTCAAAACCGTGACGAATCCAACGAGCGCCGTTCGGGACGCCAGCCACGGGACGTTGACCGTGAGATTCAGCAGCGTCAACGCGAGCGTGAGCGACGCCAGCGTGAGATGCTATCTTATCAGAAGATTCGTGAGGAGCGAGAGCGCCAGCGCTTGCGTGAACGGGAGCGTGAGCTGCGCGAGGAAGAGCGACGACGTCGTGAGGCACGCGAACGTCAGCGTATTGAGGAGGAACGTCTGGCCGAGGAGCGACGCAAGCTGGCCATCGAACGGGAGCGCCTTGAGCGTGAGAAGGCCGAACTGCTGCGCATGGAACGGGAGCGCCAGAAACTGGAGCGTGAGAAAATCGAGCTGGAGCGCCTCGAATTGAAGCGTCAACAGATGAAGTATGATAAACGTAAACGCGTTGCACACACAACGCTAAAAACAACAACACCATATTTATTTTTTCATATTCTCAAAAGGCATTTGGCCGTGTAAATTAGTGTATTAAGTTGCAGCAGCCACGTTGTTTCTTCAACCCGAAAAACTGCCGGGCAGTCTAGGCAAATGCTTTTGCATTCATGTATATTTATGCAACTGCAAATGAACTGCATTGTAGTTTAAACTATGTTTACATATGTGTACCAAATTGATCGCCTACCTTTAAAATGTTGCTAATGTTGTAAACTTTACTCTTTTCATCTTTCCTCACTTTCCACTAATGGTACTCCAGGATTATGGAGTCACGTGATGATCCTGTTAAGCGTTCGCTAAGTAAGCGCACTGATGATCGCTATACCGATGTTACTGACCGCAAGCGTTCCGCGGTGTTTGATGCTCCACCACCGCCGCGATTTGATGCTTCTTTGGTCAGCTCCCGAAAGTACGTTATCCATTCAAGTGACGGCCGCATAATCGATAATGTATATTAGCAATTTATTGACTCAACTGTATTTTTAACAGCACCAGTACTTATGACAAGAAACATGATGATTATGGCACCACATCGGGCTCCAAACGTGGTCTTGATGACTACTCTAGTTCAAAGCGGCTAGAATATACCTCAAATAAGCGTAGTGATTATGGTAGCTCCACTGGCACTAAACGTGGTGCCATCGATGATTACGCAGCGGTGCCGAGCAAGCGATCCGGCAATGATTATGGCTCAAGCTCCAAGCACGATTATTCATCATCCACTACCAGTAAACGTGATGATTACAAACGCGAAGTGGAGGTACGTCATTTGCCAGTTTCATCTGGTGGCGTTGGCACTGGCGGATCAAGCAGCTCTTATGTTCACAAGAGCAACGCGGGCGGCGGTACTGGCTATGTGCACAAGAACAACACTGGCAACGTTACCAGTACTTATGGTCACAAGAACAACACAAGCGGCGGTAATGGTGGGGGCGGTGGTCGCTACAATGATTCCGACCGCAGCAACACCTCCAATTACAGACGCAGTGGTGTTGACGACATGTCTCAGTAAGCCCAAATCTCTCTTATTAAATTGAAGACACATCAGCAACTCCCTTTCTATCATTTTAGTAGTAACAAACGTTATGAAAATTCAACCAGCAGCGGAGCAGCCGGCGGCTATGGTAGCAACTCAAACAACGTTAACATATGGGCACCATCCGGCGGCGGCAGTAGCGCTCATCTAGGTGGTGGCGGCGGCCAATTGAAATCTTACAGTAATAATGGAATGTCGTCAAACATGCATGGCAACAACTCTTGGCAAAAGTCGACTACGCTTGATGACAACTGGCGTCCAATGCAGGCGCAGAGTCGTTTTGATCGCAGCTACAACGAACGCTCCAGCGGGTATCAGGGTAACAGTGGTGCCGGTGGGATGTATGGAGGTACTCGCCCAACACAGGATCGCTACGGGGGCCAGGTGGCTCGTTATTAAATGGCGCTAAAAGCACACAACTTATGAGGCAATTGAAAACCCTTTCTAATCACCAACCCAACAAACTTGATCAATTTTCCTTTAACGCTTTTGGCGTTTATGTTAATTTCTTTTAGTTGTATCGACTTAGCTTCTAAAACTACATTAAATATCATTAGATATATAATTAATATTGAATGTTTTAATATGATAATGGTAATCGAATGTAGGTTTATGTAAATGGGAGTTGCACCATCGACGCACTAAAGATTTTTATTGCTCTCAATTTTGTTATTAGTTATTATTGTTGCTACCATCCAATGTCAACCTTGTTATGTAGTTTGGGCCAGGATTATGAACTTCATTATGAGCAAAATCTTTTCAAGAGCGGAATACTTTGTCATAAAGCTGTATGGGAATAACGGTTAGAAAAATAAGTCAAATGTAGTTTATAAAATATGTTAACTCAGAATTTATGAGCTTTTATATTCTTCTAAATTCTAGCAAATCGGACTTCTATTATAAGGCTCAAATAGGAACAATCATTCGGAAATATGGCTAGAAATGGTTATATTCAGAGTAATAACCGAAGCTAAGCGCGAAAGCATTTCCTACAGTGGGGACCTAAGGTTTAAGAAGAAGCCCAGTCGCTGCAGAAAGTGCTCAGATTGCGATTATGTGTTCGTGTGTGTGTTTTAGTATATGAAAGAAAGCTGAAATGTTTGTAAAGGCGATGGATCATATGTTATCTCCTAGTCGAACACTCAAACTAGATGATTGTTACTTGCTTACAATAAATATTGGATATCTTGCCGTTTTAGATTAGATTCCCACAAAGTGAAAGAGTATATTGCTTTTGTTCAATGTCCGTATTGAGAGACTCTTGACAAAACAAATCTAAGTATGTCCTTCTAACATATTACTGTCATGATACCGCAGCACAACAAATTGGGCATATCGAGAATTCCTTAAGAAATAGTTTTAAAGTGACTATCTTGGGGAATGCATTTTCCGAAAAGTCTTACCTCTCTTGGACAGACCGCCTTCTAACCGGACGCGGACAATACATTTTTATGAATTGTAAAAAAATACCTCCCTTATCCAAACCCATTAGCAACAAACGCAAGGCACCAAATATTGGTAAAACATTTACCAAATCACCTCAAACTATGTTGGGGTTTATAACTCCGAGTAAAGAAAGTCCAGATTGTATCACGATAGACGTTGTTGACGACAACACGACATGGACGATATGGATACTGAATCTATGTAGGCATATCTGAAGGTTCTTGTGATGTAGATTTAAATCGAACCTCGTTAATTTTCATCCAAAATCCAAAGCTTTTAAATGACAATTACATTTAAAAATAAATGCAAAGTAGATTTTTGAGAAACAACAATTGTACGCCGATCCGAACATAGCAGAATTTATGAAAATAATGTTTCTAGTAAGGAAATCTATTCTAAAAATTCGTTCTTTTTTTGCCATTTAAATTTGCGGTTTCTTATGTCCTTTACTTTTGTAAAACTAGTATGCATATATAAGTCTATCATTTATTTACAAAGTGGACCTCCTGTACAAGAGTGTTCATAGAATATTGAATTAAAAAAAGCCATCCCTACGTTTCCTCGATTAGGCGGACGCTCCTCTTGAGCGGACAGTCACACGCCAAAGAAAGGTTTTACATTAATTAAAACACAATTGTCTGGCAATTTAGAAAACTTATATTATTGTATAGATTCAAATCACTTTTGACTTCATTTTAAATAATAGGTATTTAAACTGCGTTAAATGGTTCCATTCTCACTCAAGATCGTTTTAACGTTATGAGCATTCTTAATCTGTTTCTGTCATTCTGCATGTTAAGGCATTAAGTTCAGTAGCTTATATAAATTAACTAATACTCTAAATAATTAACTTAAATCTAGCCTGAATACTAAACGCCAGCTAGCTCAACTTCCTGGGGTGGCATCCTGGGATTTAATAGTTGAATTTGTCACTGGTTCGCCGCCGGCGAGTAAATCGGCGCTGGAAGCAACAGCCGGAAGCGCGGTCGTTGCATTCGCCTGGGGCGCAATGGGCGCCATCATTGGCATGGCCACGGGCAGAACTGGCACCAGCGGAACAACTCCGGAGGGATCCACACCCGGGGCAGTGCTAATGGTACGTGCCAAGTTCATCTGCTGGCGCACCAGCTTCTCCTTTTCCCGAGCAGTTTTCAGCTTCTCAAAATCATCGCCGACATCCGGAGCGGCCTCGGCTGCTGTGTTGGCCAGTACATCGTTAGATGTTTTAATGTCAAGATTTTCGACTGTAAGGGCAGAGAGTCGCATTAGCTTATTTAACTATATGGCATTTGGGATTAATCAAGATTAAGAAATGCGTGCAACGGCTAGAGAGATTACGGCTAGGCAAACTCTAAATACAAATTTGGAGTTAGGAGGGCATTACCTGGTTGAAAACCCACAACAGCTGGATTGGGTCTTATGCAACACAATACAAACTACCGATTCAAAAAATTGCTAAGCTCTGGTTAGTATTTAATAAACAAGTCAACATATTTTTCGATAAAAAAAACTTAATGATAATATTAAGAAAACTCAAAATAATAAACAACATCACGCAACAATAATAATTTGAGGACTAGCAACATTTACGTGGAATAAGCTGAGGAACGAAATAACTTATTTTGGCCAATGATTGAACTTTACCGGGCGTCACGAACCACCTGAAAATCTGCGCTGCATCGGGTCTCTCAATCGCTTTAAGTATTAACAGTTTTAAACGCGCATTCGTCGAATGTGTATATGTATGTGAGTGTATATGAAGATAAATGTTAAATGTGATTATCGGAAGCAGGAAGAGGAAGGCATTATAGGCACCATTCCCCACACGATTGCTGACCACTTACCTGTCTCACGGCTGGCGGCCTTGTGCTGCTCGAACAGCGACTTGCTGCTATCACCCACCGGCGAGCTGGGCGCCGTGGCTGCTGACATGAGTAAGGGACTGTCTCCGGCTGGGGCTGATGTGCTCAGCAGAGCATCCACGCCACCAGGTGGAAAAAGTGATGGCGTCGGATCATACTGCGAGTGAGCGCGCTCGTACTGCGGCGAACGTCGTGGTATGTCCACGGGCTGGGAGCGTGACGGTGTTGCTGCTCCTGTTGCAGGCAGTGGTGGCTGCAGCGGCATTGTTTGCGGCTGAGCAGCAGGCGGCGCAAATATATCTTTTACATTGGGACGCGGATCGTTGGGGCGCATCGACGTTATGGTAGCCTGCTCGTCTACCTCTTCAATGACCTGTTGGGTTATGCGCATGCTGCCTGCGGGTTTCACAGCAGCTGTGCCGCCAATGGTGCCCGTTAAACTGGCCGAGCTGGCGCTGCTCGGGAAGCGATACTTGCCCGGATCGTCAGTGGGCGTGGCTGAGCTTGGACGGCTGTCGTCGCGACTTAGGAAACGTTTCAGTGCCGACGCTACCGTATTTACCCGGGACAGAGTACCCGATACACTAACTAGACTGGGCGAGGAGCCTAGCCCCAAGCGCGATTTGCCATTGCCTGCTGAGAAGTGTATGCCGCTGGCGTCGTCACCCTGCGAGATGCATTGTAAGGAAGAAAGAATGTAGAACATTAGTTGAACGGACATGATGTTCATCTGGAGAGTTCAAAGTGAGCATAAGTTACTTGAAACCGATTTGTGCAGTTTTTTTCTGAGGTGCACTAAAGCAACTGAAAGCCGTGCAGTGCGTAGTGCAGTTAGAGGCTGTAGGCAAACAGATTATTGTTAGAATCAAAAGTTAGTATGCAGTCTTATAGTTTAAAGAGACACAAACACCATAGTAGAGCTATAATTAGGTTAGTGATAATGCGCAGTGGGTTCTATATAGTTTATTTTACGACCATAATTTAGTAGAATGATCTCTGATATACCGATTAATTGAAAATACTCGACCATTAAGAGATACTGATTCAGATCTGTTTTATCATGCTCTTGTCAAAATTGATGTTACAGTGACAGGTGCATGAAAACGATCCCCAATATATATGTTAGAAACCACTGTTCAACATCCAATTCATTTTATATCATAAATATATATAAGGTTAGGTATAAATACCAAGCACCGTTGTGATTTGAAATGCCAATGATAGATCTGAATCCCATATGGAATTGTTTTTCAGTTTAGGATAGCAGAAGGTTAGAAAATACGTTTTGATCTGATTTTTGATTGATTTTGATTTTCCGCCACATGTACATGAGTGATGTTCATGGATGTACGTTTAGTTAAGGTAGCCGATTATTTGGTGCCAATACTTCGTATCGCTAGTGAATGCTGCCAACGTTTTGATTCTAACCTCCTCATCTGGCGCAGCTTTGGAAAGGTCATAAGTAACTGTCTGCATAGGGGCGCCTTGTGGCTGTTCAGCGGAAGGCGGCTTAGACCCAGAAGCGCCGGTGCTATTATTACCAACCATTTCATCGATTCGCACAGATGACATCCCTGAGGTCATCGCGGCATTCTTCGGTACATCGATCTTGGCAGTGGAAGGCTCCGGATGATTCTCGCGAAACCGTTCGGCAGCAATGGTATAGGGTAGTTCATTGGGAAACACCTCGTCCCAATACTGATCCTTAAGTAACTCTGGGTGATCATGATGCATTTCATCTACAATTAAATAGGAGACTTGCAGATTGCGATCCACCATCCAATTAACCTAGGAAGCAGACACTCGTCAATAAGTTTAACACTTTAAGAGCTTCCATTTGATCAGACGTACTTCAAAATCATCATCGTCCTCGCCAAAGGGATTGATCAGAGACTCAGCCACCTTAAGCCAGCCCATGTAGAAGAAGAACTGCAGCGTGGTAAACACTGGAAAATACAAATCCACCTTGTTCAAATAGCTACTGGTGCCCACGACTTTTCCATTCGTCCACTGCTGTCCCATGACGCAGGTGAGGAAGTAGGAATAAACGGCCAAAGTAACCACCTGTGTGTAAACCAGGGGCACACTGATCGTATCATAACTAATAAGCAGGCCGCACTGTCCTCGAAACTTGTTCAGTTCATCGATGATGGTCTTCACGGCGAAATCGTCCCTAATGCGGCCCTGTCAAAATTTGTAATTTGCAAATTAAAGTCCATAGAAAGGAGTGAGGATGGTATTTTGGAACAAAGCTGCGTAACAGTCTTCTTGTTTATATTAAGTATTATTTACCTCTTTTCTTGCCCGCGTAATGATGCTGGCCGCCCACACAATTGGGAGCCAGTGCTTGGAGGGTCGCGGAAACGATTTGTTCATTGTCTCAATGATTGTACGCTCATTCTCATTGAGCAGGCCCGCTTCCACCAGATTGTTTAGGCCAGGAAATCGTTTCTTGACGCGCGGTGATATATTCGCCAGAACCATCGTGAGGCACAAGCACACATAACGCATGATTGTGCGCCGCATAACGCGACCGCGCTCATCCTGGCCATGCACATTGGAGCTGACGAATACAGCGATTGGATCCGGCCAAGGAATAGATGTATACTGATTCCACCAGCGTGTCATTACAATTGAGACATAGAAGCCGAGCACAAAGGACAGCGGGATGAGATCACGATAGCTGTTACAATAGGCCACGATCGCCTCGAACGTTCTGAGCGGGAAAAAGAGAAACAGTAAATATAAACTATATTCTTTGATAATAATCACTTACTCTTTCTGGCTTTCATTGAGCGCAAAGCGATAGACCAAATTCAGTAAATAATATAGTGTAAGAAAAGCGAGCAGATCCAGCCAAACTAATTTGTAAATACTTCCGCGCCACCTGAAAGGGAAGTGGGTGTCAGATCATTATTATAAATAGAACGCACACGAAAACCCCTAATATAGTAGTTCGACTAACATATCATCGTTTATGGTTTGGGCCATTCCCTAAACTTATCGTATTACGATGGGCATGTGCTCACCAATATTCCTATAACTGGCGACGTCATCACAAAGCTTTACCATCCTGATATTGAACTAGTATAATCATGCCACCGTCCACTTGTGACTGACGAAACGTCATAAAAATAAGCACATACATATATACGTATGTATGTGAGAATAACCTCACCATCATTTCAGACGAAAGCCTACTAATTATAAAACAAGCTCTTATCATCAACATTTTTGATAAAAAAAAAACAAAAACAAACACAGTCATTTATGATAAACAAATGACAAACAGAATTTGACTTTGTATCGTTGCCAGAAAGATTTCAAGGTTTGCCGACGTTGATAATTTTAATTAAATTTATTGTATGCACAGATGCCGTGCTTCAGTGCAAAGAACAGCAGGATCACTGGTAAGTAGCATATTTTGTGTATTATTAAAATTAGTTTCAGTTTGGAAAATGTTTGAAAATACTATGTCCTCATTTGTTCCTAAATATGTGCGTTAGCTCTCCTATACTACATTTAAATGATTACGTGTTAAATTAGCAATAACATAGAGGCTCAGTTAGACTATCAAATCTAGTGTAGCCAGTTCATTGATTAGCCGTAACAATCAATGCAGCTGACGCTATCAGCGGATCATTCAAATAAATGTGAACTACATTTACATATGTTGGGGTACATTCAAACAGATATCGTTAGAAGCACTGGCTACCTAATATTAAATTATAATTCAAATTACATGCATGACAGATGTCAAACACATGACGGGCCAAACGGCTTTGATAACGCTGCAGGTCCAGTGGAGGTGTGGTGGATGTGCTGACACGAGTATCATGTGTGGGTGGAGTTGCTGCTGCTATCGGCGGAACTACAATCTAGTGTGCCAAACTATTTGAGTGTGTGTGTGTGTATGTGGAACGCATGGAAAATTCTATTACTTGCATTAGTTGCAATTGTGTGATGTCTGACGACTATCACTAGCTGTAGTCAGCGGAGAGTCGCTCAATTTACTGGCTCTGTTGAGCTGTGTCAGTTCTTTAATTAGCACCAGACTTGCAATTTTACACGCTTCTCATACATAAGCGTTTAGCACTGTAATTTGAAAGTGCACAAATAGTTTTTATACACCTACATGTATTGGAAGGTATTACCCGTCTTTCATACATCACATTTCCACCCATTTCCCTCCTATCGGAAAAATTTTCCGTTCTAACTACCGTAGTAGATATTCGCAATCAATAAAGCTTTTTAAAAATGCATTTATTAAGAATTGAAAAATTAGTTTATAGTCAACCGGATAAAAGGAATAAAATCCTCTCGCCGGATTAGTGAAAAATGAGAAAAGCATGTATTAATTAATTTACATTCTGATCAAAAGAAACTAATGTTTTCCCCCCAAGGCAAGTGAATTTTTGACAATAAAAATAATTTTCTAACAAAAATCTTTGAAAATAAGTTTGAGGCCTATCATGTGGTGTACAAAATAGATTTATACAATCGCTGTTTAACAATTTTATATACTTGCGAGCGGAATTTTCCAAAAATGTTCCGTCTTAGCGTGCACTTGCATCACATCAGTTTCTAGCTATATGGGTTGGGCTGGGCGTTAATCAACAATCAGTCAGTCAGTCAGAACAAACAGTTTTATGTATATAGAGATATATAGTAGATAAAATCTCACACTTACCTGAGAAGCAGTTTGAGAAAACAGCCAAAGCCACGACAAGTGGCGACTTCACCTGTATACGTTATTGTCATTTTCGCAAATTGTACTTAATTTTCTCTATTATATTTTCAATTGAGATTTTTGTTATAGCCAATGTTGGTTTTGTTCTTTAAGTTATGTTTTCTTATCACGCTTCGCGATTTAGATAAATGTACATTTTGCTTTGTTTTTATTGGGGCATAGCCAATGTCATCAGTTTCCGAGCTGAGCAATTTCTTAAATTTAGAGAAACAAGAAATACATATTGTATCAATAATACAAATAATAAGAATAAATCAAAAAGTCATTTTTATTATATAGTTTTTCATACAAATCCATAGTGCAAGTGTCATGTAATCTGCGCAGTGTGCAGCTAATTACCAGCTAAACCATGGCAACAACAACAACAAATATAATAATACATTTGAAATTCAAAAATCGATATTTTCAACTGGAAGTCAAGTAAGCATGCGACATTAAAATGCGGAATACAATCGAACTGCATGCATTGCATTCTCTTTACTATTTAAAATGCAACAGTGACGAGCTGATTAATTTAATTGTAGCAATTTAAAAAATTGTTGAAACTTTAGAGAAGCTCCGAGCTCAAGCCAAATATATCTATGTATGTGTGTAGCTTTAGTAGAAATTGACGCAAATCGAAGCGCTGACAGATCGCGTGTGGGCGATGCCATTGATGCTGCAACAGTTCCAGCTGGAGGTGTCACTGAGGGTCAGCCGCATTTGAGTTCTACGATAGCATATTAATTAGTCCAGCAAACAAACTTCGCAATGTCACTTCAAGTCTCGTAAAATTACGTAGTTACTTATCGTTAAGTATCAATTTCAGATATTTTTTAGTAGTTATTCATAAAATGTGGTATAAAAGTTTCCCTAATTTTACAGTCATAGCTATTAGTTTGGATATATAAACAGCTTTTGAATAGATGAAAATACCGAAGTTATTCCGACGTGCCATTCTGATAGGTTTGGGCTAACAGAAATAAAAGCACAACTGATCTATAATAATGCATGTTCGAACATGAAATTCGAATTCATAGTACGGCACCTTGGGCCTAGGTACAGGGTATCAGCAAGGTCGACACTCCGGACTAAAACACCATTACTCTTATTTTTATTGGTATATATGTACTTGCCCACATGAGTATGTAGAATGTATGTAAAGAGAAATGCACAAATAGTGTATTAAATAATGAGTAAAGATGAGCTCATGCGTCTCCCCTTTCGAGTTGGAAAAGTCTGTATTCAATGAGCAGTACGTTGATGAATTTCCGTATAGCAGAGAATAAATAAATAAGAGGCATTTTGTGAACCGGTGAGCTAATGATCGAAATACACAATACAAACTGAGCTCAGAGCTCAAATAAAATGGTCTACAGTAGTCGTGGTTGTGCGTTTGGTATGTGTCTGACTGTGAGCTAGGCTTTTGGGTCTGGATGATGACATCATTTCTTGGCTTGTTTTACAGATGGAATTGGACACACCAAAATTGGTAGAGTTTTGTATACATACATTAACATTTTCATATGTATATATTTTTGTCTACCTCTACCAATACAGCCATGTTTTTTTTTAGCACTTAAAATCGTAAATCACACAAAAACAAAATCTTGACATAGCTTGCTGATTATATGCTGAATTTGGGTGCTGATTACGGGCAAGGCTTCTGATATGTGTTTAACTGGATCACGACATGCCTGTAGTTCGGTTTGGCAACGTGATCAACTAACTGTGAATTAGTGAGTATTTAGAGTATTTAGTTGTGCGAATGCTAAGCGAACGAGTATAATGAATATGTATTTGATAAGCAAATGAGTCATTTGGGTTTTCTGTGTGCTTGAGCCCTTTCGTAAAAAATAAAAAAAGAGACTTCCAAGAAGATGAAATGCGACACGAGATTAAGCACAATAGAATAAAAAATATGCCTTTAAGATATATCAGCTGTAAAATGCAGATAATAAATATGATTACAGAGTATATTAGACTAAGCATGTGCATTGGTATGCATAACTAGATTCATATTTTTTTCTTTTTATTGCTCAATGAATGAACCTTATCCAATGGCTTCCTTTTTTCATTGACAATAGTTGTGCTTAGCATTTGTATTAAAAACTGTTTTCATAATAATATACCTTTTAATTTAATTTATTAATCCATAATAATTTAAATATAAATTAACAAAACTTCCATTTTCATTTCAAACTGTAATTACAGGGTATCTTACCACTAAGCATCCGCATTTACAAGCATAACTGCATTCACATGTTTGCTCTTTATTTCTGAATGAATGCGAATATCGACAGGCTTAACGACCTTTTATAATTATTAATCGCCTTTGCACTCAATTTTCTAACTGACCTTATTTATATTATTTACATATACTTATATTACATACACATTCGCAAGTGGAACTGGAAAATAAAGTACTCTCTACTGCTAATTGATTATAAGTTGCCAACTTTAAGCTCGCCTTGCAATCCCTGGTGAACTGCGCCCACACCTACATGTATACCCATTGACGTATACAATAACTACATAACTAACCTTTCTTTGTATACAAATGCTTGAGGCTTATATAATAGAGTACATTCTTATCGTTGGGTAACCCGTTGAAGTAAGTGTTTCTTGGATAACTCTTGACAATGAAAACCAATGACACATAAAGGCAACATGAAGGAAACCAAGTCACGTGAAAATCTTATCATTTAAATAAACGATAAGTTTGTATTTTTACGGTAAATCAAAATAAACGACAACATTCGAACTCAAATCTTCGAGGTTAATGACATTTACCGCAAAAATTGGCGACTGCGGCCAGATCGACGGGCGTCTAAATATATAGTATGCACACAAACATATATTTACAGAAATGCACACACTTAAACCTGTATATTCGCGTACATACATTACACAAAGACATATGTAAGGCTAACAATTATTTACATAAGTGCTTTTATGACTCTTTATTGGCATTTGATTTTGACGAACTTGATGACAACTGAGCGGACCTGAGCAGAATTTAAATAATTCTTATTTTGAATTTAGGCGAACTCTTTGTTGTAGTTGTTGTTTTTGTTGTTAGTATTTATAGCATCGGCGCACTTTCAAATTTGAATACGAGTGTCGTCTAGTCGAAATTTGCATGCGGCGCAAATTTTGAGTGTGCCGAGGGTTAAAAATAAATTTCTATGTAGTGGAGTAATGTGTGCTGAGATTGCATATTGACCAATGCGGACTCTGTGATGACTCACAATGCGTTCAGCTGACGTACAGACGCACCGACGTACATACATACATACACATAGAAATAGAACGATTTGCAAAAGCCACAAAGTTACGCATTACTGTGGGGAGTTTGATATATCCTGCACATTTATTTAACTATTTATCCTTTCTTTTTTGACTATTTGCAATCGATTAGCATTACAATAGACAGCAACCGGATCCATGCACACAATTTGAGAGTCACGCGGCTTACATAGCTCAAATAGTTATTATTGGTTAGGGTTTGTTCGTTGGGATGTTTACACTGTTATTAAATCGCGCCATGGTCACTTACAATTGCTAACTAACACTGATGCACTTTGTAACTGAGATTTACAGCGCGGAACACGCGAATACGGCAACTCAACTGATCCAGGTACACGAGGTGCCAACAACAGCAACTCCACCTCGCATTCAAGAAAAAAAAACAAGACGCTGACGTTGATTGTTTGCTGGCGTTGGTGCTGCTGTTGTTATTGTTGAGTTTTGGGCTTATTTCTTCTTTATTTTGTTGGTCTTTATGCTTCACTACTATTTTGACGTCGTTGCTGCTGCTGTTGTTCTTTCATCCACACACACACATGAACGTGAACGTAGCTGTGGATGTGGCCATGCTTGTCGTGCCAGCCATTCAAACAAATCGCGCTCTGTGCCGTGTTCTCTCGTACTCGGCACTTCCGCGCTCAACGACCGACGATTTCAGACTGAAACTGCCATGCGAAAATACCAACAGAACTGGGAACACTGTGCCGGCAGCTGTGGCGGAACCGCAAGCCCATGCCTATGCCCAATTGCTGGGAACGCCCGAGAGAGCACAACTGGCTGTGAGCGTAGAATGGCGATAAGCCTGACACAGGGTTGGATTTAGCACTGTTGAGGGTAGGCGCCGAATTTTGCTTTAACGCATCTTATCTTCATTGTTTGAGTGTATCTACCACATATAATTAAATATTGTTAAATTTATATGGACCAATTCGAAACGTGCTTTATTCATTTATAGTTGACTCAAAAACAACAAAAACAATCATTTGTGGGCCCCTTAAAAAAAAAATTCACATAATTTTTCAAAAGCCGTTTACAGTCTATTTAGTTTAGATTTTTTTTCTTTCTATATGTTAAAATGAAATGAAATGAATTTTAAATTATTGGTAAGACAAAAAAGAAAAAAAAATAACAAAACTCATTTTAATCGAAAATATAAACAATTTGGTGTTTCTCAACAAAATAAGAGTCCTCGAGTCAAGAGTATACGATCTCTGACGGTTGCCCTCTAGCTTCCCTCTGCCTAACACTTGGGAAAATTTATTATTGAACACCATCTGTGTGTCTAATCCATCTACATATCAAAAAGTATGGCTATGCCTGCTTAAGCACTTCGTGAGGAATAGGGATATGTTCTAAAAAATTAAGGATTCTTAGTTTGTGTATGTCATACGAACTACTGCATACCCAGAATTGCCTCTCAGCTATGATACTGATGGAGAATATACAAGTTTTTTGGGATCAGAGTTTGGCTGTAATATGTATAGCTTCATAATACTGTATTTTTTTAAATGAATTTAATGTATTAAATTTTTTTCTTTAAGTTTACGATGATGATATAGCCTTCGTTACGACATCTAAATTTATCAGATTCTACAAGTTTGTTTGAATATACAAAAAGGCAAATAATAAAATTTTGAATAGCGATTCAAATTATTGCAACTATTATAATTAATATCACTATTATTATTATTATAAGAAAAACATTTAAAAAAAATAACAGTTTCTTAGTCTAGAAATTCCACAGCTTGTAATTACTATGCTTTAATTTTTACGTTAAATTTTTTTTCGCTGGTTATATTATGGAATCATTTTAGAATATTAAAAACGACATTAATAATAAAAGCATACGAACAAGCAGATGAAAATATGTTACTAAGTTAAATATTCAGAGAGCACTGCATACTTTTAGGGGTTGTTTTTAGGTGCATTCATTGCATACATCTTACTGGATAGATATTGTCGCCAAATATGGTTTTCTGTTAAGTCATCATAGCACCTTTTAAATAGGCTGACGCCCACCCCGAAGGGAATTGCACTCAACCGTTGTTTAGTTTGCAATCTTGTGTCTCGTCTTTGTTAGTCTACTGTTCGAGTCAAAATAGATTTGGACGCATAAGAAAACTTTGTAGCCCATGTCTTTAGAGAATTAAATACCCATTATTTTTGGCGTTGTTCACATTTGCAAATCACATAAATATACAACTTGAAATATATTCACAGCTGACGGCTTAGCTGGCTAAAGGTTTGTTTTTCGATTTGATTACAATTATTATATTACACGTCTGCGCTGTAATATGTAATATGTTCTGTTCGTGAACCTGGTTCGTCACATACATTTACCTAGGTCTTGGTCCGACTTTGAATTGTGCTGAATTGTGCTGACTGACTAACTGGATGATGATCAACGCACAGCCGAAACGATAAGATTGAGCAAGCTGGCTTTTTCACTTAAGCTAAGTTAACTATGTGTTAAAGGGGCTTGCTAAGTCGCGAAACTTCACCCGCAAGTGTGATACCTATCTTTTCAAATTTACACCCGCCACTATTTTGTTTGCCATCTGATTCGTGTTTCACACTTTTGCGCAAAATCTACCCCTCTTAGATGGGTAAATAGGGAATTGGTTTATAGCTTTGAATAAAAATATTATGTTTATTCAAATTATTATATAAAATAGTTAAATTAAATTACCTGAGTTGAGAAAATATCGATACCATTTTGTCTAAATAGTTAAGAATGACATTGCCAAAACTCAAAAAAGGAGATTTGGTGTCTAACAGTTACGAAAATAGTTCTTACCCTTACTTGTTTGTATGTATGTAAACTAACTAGTTAGCATTGTTTCTAATAAAATAAGAAACATTTATTTATTTATTTCTTCGTTTATCTTGTTACTTTATTATCTCATTCAATAAATTTATTTGTTTTTAAATTTAATTTATGTATTATTCTAAATTAATTACAATTCATAAGTTTCACGTTTAACGCACTTAAAAGGTTTGCTTATCTTTTTAAGCTACTTGCGTATTTTTGCATTTCGAATTAGTGATTTTGCGTGTGGCTTTTTACATTTATTTATAACTTTTCACTAATACTCGTACAGATTCGCTCGAACTTATGATAGACTAATGACTTATGTTTAGTTGTTATTTAAATATTAGGCAAATTTTAATGAAATATATAGTATTTGTTTTCATTTAGTATTTTACAGAGACATCATTTGTTTTAAGCCTATTTCAATCGAAGAATTTGGAAAAGATTTAATAGACTGCTTTTAGTTATATACATTTGAGACTTACTTGAAATGGGGAAAACGTAACTAAACTATGTTAAACTTTAAAACTGTCACACTTTGACTTATGTATTACATTTTTATATGTTACTGGGCGGTCCGCGATGCGCACGCTGTCCATGCAACGTGGAGGAATGTCTAGAGCCGGGTCGTGAATGTACAATTGCATAATCGTTATCAATTGGTATAGACCTTCGAAGTAGTACGTTGGATAAGTTTGTTGATAAGTTTCATACAAAATCATTATCAAATTATAATATGTGGTGTATTTAAAAAGAGGACTTGACAGTTTAGTTAGCAAATATTTAAAGTGGACTGTTAGTGTTTCCGGGTATGGGCCAGAGAAAATTGTACGTTCTATTCGATAGGTTTAGTTTAGGTTTAAAGTTAGTCATCATTTTAAACAAATGCAAATTATCAACGGTTAATTACAGTTGCAATACAAGGCACGAAATAAATTCATTCCATTCTTTTATGTCTTTTGTTTGGGTGAACACAAGTTGTGTTGCTTTGTTGTAATTGTTCTCCAACAGGGCTTCAGGGCACTTCAGTAGATTTAAAAATAGATACGAATACAACAAAATACGATACATAGCTACGATACAAGGCTTTTTGGGCATGCGTTATATAAAGATACATCTATATATATATAGACATATATATGTGTCGGTGTGTTTGTGTGTGGCTGTGTTGGCTCCACAGCTACCAGAAAAAAATTTGTAAGAGCAGAACGGATGCATATCAAGTGTAGAGTAGAGCTTTTGTGTTCTTGTGTGTTTGTGTGTGTAGTTTATAGATCAGCTTAATATCTATCAGACCTATTTGAGTGTATCGTCGAGCCACCGCTGGTATAACCCTTGTGCGCATCACGGCCATGTAGCGAATAACGGGAGCCATATTGACTGCCATGCCAGCTGCGGTAAGGATCGTATTCCTCGATGATGGAGGGCTCCTTTTCAATGATCTGCAAGGAGTCGTAAATGTCACGCGTATAAAATACTTGCATTCGAAATGTTTTGAGAGCAGAACTACCTCTGTGTTGGCACAACTGCAGCTCATGGCAGTGCAAAGGAAAATGTTCATTAGCAACATGATGAGGAACAGTACGCCCAAGGTTATGGCCAGCCACAGCAGCCAGCTGGGTCGTATACCATCCTCGCAATTTGTCGAAATTACTGCAAATTAAGAAATTGTATTTTAATTTCGATTGATTTGAGATTTATATTTTTTGATTCTATCTTACGTCGCGCTTCGGCGGGATCCAAAACAAAAACAGTTGTTCCCGCAATGCTGGAACCTTCCTCATTGGGCCCAAACTTGCGTGGTCCATTGCCATTGCCCTTTGTAAAACCAGCTAAGGCCACCTCGCTGCAATCGTCGATCTCTACGCACCGTCCATAGCACTGTATGACGTCACACTGGAGATGAACCTCGGATCCTGAGAAGGCAATTTGGAATTATTTCGGTTTTCGATCTGACTAGCATTGGTTGATTTCGACTACTTACCTTCGGGAAACTTGAACATGGAGGCTAGCGTAGCCTCCGCTGCACGCCCATCTGCGGTGGGCACAAAACGGCTCATAATGTTGGCATCATAGGGGCAGCTATGCATGAAATATACCGTTAGTTGGCAGTCAGGTCAGGAGCTGATTGAAGAGTCAATCGCACTTACCCGCGATCATCTGTCAGCTTGAGGGTGATGTTTTTCTTGTCAAAGGCAAAGCAGTTGCCCACACGTAGACCATAGGTATCTGATAATTGAAGGGAATTTTTATTAGCACACAGTGCAGACAAGGGAGTTTGTGATTACCCACCGTTTGGCTTGGAGAATTCAGCGCGTATCTTATACTCGTGTCCATATACTGTTTCACGCACGCGGTGATCGTTCTCCAGAAACTTGAGCACAACATGGGTATTGTCATCGCTGCAAATTTGAATGGGAATGGACGTTGCACATTAGTTAACGGTTTTTCAGGCATACTTCCCCCATTGCGCAGCTGCACCTGCTAATTAAAAGCGCAGCCAATAGACCCAAAAGTGCTGCCCACTGCGATTCGCTTGCAGTTTCACTAGCCAGCAAACGGCACCAGCAGCAGCAGCATTATGCAATTGCCGGTCATTACGTTATAGACAGTTGCGTTTTATACCAAACCGACATACCAACATATGCTATATTATATGAATAGTTTTAATTTTCGCTGCCTTGTTTGCTGTTTTGTGCATTTCTGTCAATTTTTTAAATTTCCTTTTGGCTTTCAGGTTTTTTTTCCTGTGTGCAGTTAACAGAGCGCAACAATTTGCAAAAATGATTTTTTTTTACCAAACCCATATTTTTCTAAATTGTTTTTCTATTTGTTTGGGCCTGTTTTCAT